TGCTTTCAAAGCATATTTAATGGCATTAAAAATGCTTATAACATAATTATAAACTCTTTTTATCAGTCTGGAAAGAAAGATGTGTAAATATCAAAGGCTGATATCTATGGATAGAAAAATTGCTGATGTTTTTTCCTTTCACATCTTATTCTATGTTTTTCAAAATGTCTGCATTAAGCAAAAATGTATTAAGAAATTTATACAATACCGTTAAGAGTTACTCCCCATGAGTACCCCATTTTGGGGTATACTGCCCAGGCTTTTCTCTGTGCATTTAAATACACAGACATACTTTTTTAATGCAACATATTATCTAGTGCATATTATTCAGCAACTTGAGTTTTTCACTTATTATTTTTATACCACCAAATATATATTTACCTCCTTCTCTTCTATTATTGCATAGTGTTCCCAAAATTGGATATATCATAGTTTAACTATTTTCTTTTAGTTGTACATGCAGATTACTCCTTCCTTCCTTCCTTCCTTCCTTCCTTCCTTCCTTCCTTCCTTCCTTCCTTCCTTCCTTCCTTCCTTCCTCTTTCTTTCTTTCTTTCTTTCTTTCTTTCTTTCTTTCTTTCTTTCTTTCTTTCTTTCTGTAACAGATAAAGCTGTAGATCTTATATTTTTAATGCATATGTGCAAGTATTTTTTTTCTTAATGATTTCAGAGCTAGAGGAAGGAAGAGAGAGAGAAACATCAATTTGTTGTTCCACTCATTTACGTACCCACTGGTTGATTCTTGTATGTGCCTTGACCAGGGATCGAACCCACAACCTTGGCATATCTGGACAATGTTCTAAGCTACCTGGCCAGGGCTGCAAGTACTTTCTTTCTTTTTAAATATGGAATGCTTCACAAATTTGTGTGTCATCCTTGCACAGAGGCCATGCTAATCTCTGTATTGTTCTAGTTTTAGTATATGTACTGCTGAAGTAATCATCCACAAGTATTTCTTTAAGGTAGGTACAAGAAAGGAAACTGCTGGGTCAAAGGCTATGCACATTGTATATTTTAATAAGCACTAGCAAATTGCCTTCAAAAGACTTGTACTAATTTATGTTATCATTAACAGCACCTGAGTTTCTCCACAATCTTTCTAACACTTGATATTATAAATCCTTAATAATTTTGCTAATTTTATGAGGGAAAAATGTATACCTTATTTTAATTTGCACTTCCCTAGTTACTAAGCTTCAGCAATTTTTCAAGTTTATTTTTGTCCTTTGCATTTCCTCCTGTCTCAATTGTCTTCATATCCTCACCTCCTTTTCTCTAGCGTTGTCTTTTTCTTAGTGATTCAAGGTGTTAGTTTATATATTTTGGATATTAGTCTTTTGTTACACAGCTTCAGCCAGTTTATTATTTGTGTTTCATTGAACAGAATTGTCAATTTTGATATAGTCAACTATTTTTCTTTATGGTTGTTCTCTGAAGTCCTTGTTCTCTTAGAGCTCTTTTTTAAAAGTTAGCTCTTTCAGCTATGTGGATATTAATTTTGTGAATGGTGTGAGGTAGATATCTACCCTAATTTGTTTTTCAAATGAATAGCTAATTGTCCAAACACTTTATCACCTTTCCCCACTGACCTGAAAGGCCATTTTCCTCATATATTATATTCCCACACATATATGAGACTGTTCTTGCACTCTTTTTTCCATTATAAATGCTTATTTCAATACTATACAGATTTATCCTTAATGGTTTTATAATATGCTTTTATATAGGGCAAGTCCCACCCCCTTTATTTCATTTATAATAAAAAAGTTTTTAAAAACTCTGTTCTTCATTGTTTAACTGCCTGATTCTTCAATCTTCCTTGAGTTCCAGACAACAAAGAGGTAAAATTAAAAATTATCCACAGGCAAGACAAAGGAGCATGGGAAATTAGGGAAAGGAGAAAAAAAAAAAAAGCTCTCAAAATAGTACTTTTCCCCATACACTTCAAGAAGCTACCTTGTGAATTATGCCACATATGAAATAAGGTAAATTTTTTGTGTTCAGCCACTGTCTAAATCAAAGCTGGCTCTGGCTTTCATTGCTAGCCAATTACAAAGGACAGGGACTATGTTAATATAAAATGTGAATGGTTGGGAAATAGAAAGAAACATGATTCTACGTGAGATAATAAACAAGAACTGAAGTGAATAAAGAACATGGTGAGAGAAAATAAAATACATGTATTCTTTTTATGGACCCACCTGTCAGGAAATCAAATCTCTGAGTTTAGTTCACCATTGTATCCTGGGTTCTTTCTGCTACCTCTACTTATATCATTCAATGTTTTATATAGATCATAGAGGGATCAGCTCGTTACTTAATAATTGAAATGACAGAGAAAGGAAAAGCACTATTAGGGATATGATATTAATGAGTAACAGAAAATATGTTAATTGAAAGTTGGTAAGCATTAAAAAGAGAACGAAGCAAAAAGTGTCTGTAATAAACAGTTTATCCTTTAAATCTAACCATTGTACACAATGTAGTTATATTCAACTTAAAGTTGTACCTGTTTTCATAGTAAAGCTAATGTTACATAAGTAGGAAAATCTGCCTTGTGGGCAAGTAGGGCTCTAAATCAAGTTAATTATTTACAATAAATTTAATTGTTCCTGGTTGAAATAACTTGTTGATAGGACATGATGATTGTCAAGGGACTTGTGTCCAATGCAGTGTGGTCAAAGTTTCAGTGCCCAGTAAACAGGAACAGGCAATCATAAAGTATTTTAATGACCATTCACACAGAAATAGCATCATTTTTTTTTGTGGTGCCAACATGTGAACATTGTGATTTACTGATCCCCATTTAACTCAACAATTTATAATTAGTTGCATTATGTTTCAAATCAGACTATTTTTTCCTAGAAAAGCAATGACTGAGCAAGTTCTAAGAATCTGCCTCAAGAAGTACAATAAAATGTACTTTAAAGTCATTTCTTCCCTTGCTTTACATTAAATTTAGGGTTGGAGCCAAACCACTAATTACATATACCATGATGAAATTTACTTTTACCATAGCAAACAAGTGAAGGATATATTTTCTAAAAAATGGAACTCTAATATTTTAGTACTAGAGTTGTCCCTCTTACTGAATTTGTACTTTAAAATGTTCACAATCTGCTAGCTTCATGAAACCTAACAACCATTGATTTTAAAACATTTTTTTTATATCTGAAAGTGTAGCTTTTGATAAATACTGTAAACGAGTGTAACTATTTTACATATCAGATAAATTAATATGGATTGTACAGCAAACTTCTCTAAGTGGAACTCATCCAGATAAGTTGTGGGCATTTCCTAGGAAACTAGTGCTAACCGACCAAGCTTCTGTTAAGTTGCTTCCAAACTACACATAGTCTTAGCGTGGTCCTCGGCTAGACTGTGCGCTTCTGAGCTTGTTCCACAGTGGGCGCTGATGAGAGGGAGAAGTGTGTGGTTGCTCTGATGCCGTTGCGTACGTTTCAGCGCTTCCCGCTCTTACCCGTTGGGCTTAGACTTCACATTGCCATCTGGTTCCCTAGCATGGCTTCCAACTTTGTCTGGTGCCCCCTAGTGCTAATCACATGTACAATCTTGAGTAGTTGCGAGAAGCAAAGGGGTCCAGGGAGCCCAAAGATGCTTTCAAGAGAAGCATTCATTACTGTGAACTGTATGGATCCAGATTTCTTCTATGTCCAAAGCCATGGTATAAATTACATGTGTATTTTCATGCACCTCTAGAAAAAGAGGGGATGTTGTTTTTCTAAGCCACCAAAGTAAAGATGGACATTGTTTCAACAAACTACATGGAAGTCAACTCAGCTCCCTAAGGTTTGTGGTAAAAAACTCAAAATTCAGCCCCCTTCCCCGCACCGTTCATTTTATTCTGGCAAAGAGTTCGCTATGGTCCTTGATTTCAGTAGGGTAGCCCATCTTTGAGAGCCAGAATGTGTCTTGGGGCTGGAGCTGAGAATGCCCACAATTTATCTTAATTGCTATGGAAGGGCGGAGGATAGAAGATAATTCTGTTTCCTTCCCCAACCCATTTAATCAATATTAATTTCACGCGCAATCCACAAAGTTTCTTTTACCCTACAGAAGGAGTCATTAGCTCTTCTGGCTGAGCTCCGGCTCTGGTTCTCCTGCTTTGCCTTTCTCCTCCACCCCCACACCCCACAGTCACTCAACACTTCTGCAGCTTTCTCCATTAAAGATGAACAACAGATCATTTTTCTTTGCATGGCAACCCTAAGAGCTCCCTCTAGCCTCAGCAGAGCATGGATGAGAATCTCTCCTCTTGCCTGTCTCCCTTTTCTTTTTTTTTCCTTCGTTCCCTTCTTCCACAATTAATCCCTAAATAATGATTTTCCCAGCTAGCGCTGATTTAAGGATGGGGTTTAGCGATTCACTGTGACGCTCCCATCAGACCTTCCAGAAGGGGCGGTTTCCAAAAGAAAACTACAACTCCCATGAGGCATCAAATTAAGCAGCCGCAGGGCATCACGGCAGTCGTAGGCTCCTTCCACCGGAGCCCCTTTCATTCCTTAAACGGGTAAACTACAAGTCCCAGGAGCCTCGGTACTGGCACGCCTGCGCGAGAGTCCTACGAGTGAGGTGGGTGGGGGTGGGGCTGCCCCGGGCGGTGGGGGGCGGGGTCCGAGCGGGCTGTGTGGAGCCTTCAGACTCCCGGCGCCATTTAGCGCGGCGAGTTTCTCTGGTGGACGCGCTTCTTCACACTCGACCGCTCTGCACTCCATTCTTCGGTGACAGAAGGTGCCTGTCGGGGTGACTACTCTTTTCTTTCCCTGTCCCCCTTCACCCAGTCCTTTCGGTCTCCTCTGCTCTCCGCCCAGAGAAGCAGCGGAGCTCGGGCCCCGCGGCGAGCGGCCCTCCCCTCCCCACCGTTCCCTCCCTCCGTCAGCCCCCGGCACCGGCCCGGGAGGAGACGGGGTTTGTCAGGCCCGGGGCGGGCGGGGAGGCCTCGGGGAAGGGGGGGCCCGCTCCTCAGGCACCGAGGCTCCAAGGCTTCGACCCTTCACATCCGGGCGATGGACGCATTGTGAGACTGGTCCCCCTCGCTGGGGGCGCGTTTGGGAGGCGGCGACCGACTGACTGTCCCGGAGCCCCCGGGCCCGGCCCTCCCTCGCCTTCCTCGGCCCCTCCCACCCGCTGGCCCTGGAGCTGCCACCGACCGGGAGTCCGTGCTAGTCCTGCCTCGCGTCGCCGCCGCCCTCCGGGCCTAGCCCGCCCAGCCCGCGCAGCGGCGGTGGCGGCGGGGAGCTGGAGCCGCCGCCGCATCCGTCGCATCCGCTTCTCCTCGGTGCCGGCTCCTCGCCCTGCCCCTCATGACTGCGGCGCCGCTGCTGCTCCAGCCCTCCCGGCCGCCGCTTGCCGCAGGATGGATGCGGATCGCGAGGCGCTAACCCCGGTGGCTCAGCTCCTCGATAGCCCGCCGACGAGCCCGCCTTGTGAGCCGAAGCAGCCGTCGCAGCAGGGCCCGGTGTCCCGCCTCGCCTTCGGGGCGACTGGTCAGTGCTGAGTGAGGAGTCGTCGGGTTTAATCCCAGCCCGCCGGGAGCGAGAGCCGTGGGAGCGGGACCTGCAGACCTTCACCGCCCCTCGGGGTCGGCCCCTCACCCTCTCCTTCACAAAGTCGAGCCGGCTCGCCTCGCTCCCGCCGACCGACCATGTCTGGCGGCGCCGCGGAGAAGCAGAGCGGCGCTCCCAGCTCCCTGTTCCTCTCGCCGCCTGCGCCTTCCCCCAAGAATGGCTCCAGCTCCGATTCCTCAGTTGGGGAGAAACTGGGCACGGCGGGGGCCGACGCTGGGACAGGTAGGACTGAGGAGTACCGGCGTCGCCGCCACACCATGGACAAGGACAGCCGCGGGGCGGCTGCGACCACCACCACCACCGAGCACCGCTTCTTCCGCCGCAGCGTCATCTGCGACTCCAACGCCACTGCGCTGGAGTTGCCCGGCCTCCCGCTCGCTCTCCCTCAGCCCAGCGTCGCCGCGGCGGTCCCACAGACGACTCCACCGGAGCCCCATCGCGAGGAGACCTTGACCGCGACCGCCGCTGCCGAGGTAGCCCAGCTGCCTCCCGCTGCTGTTGCTGCCCCTAGGGAACCCGCCGCCGCGGGCCCTGCGGCCACGACTGCCCCCAGCAATATCAGCAAAGACCGCCAAATTTCCCAGCCGGACCATGTGGGGAGCAAAGAGGAGCCTCCGTCGGCGAGAAGTGGCAGCGGCGGCAGCAGCGCCAAGGAATCGCAAGAGGAACGGAGCCAGCAGCAACAGGATGATATCGAAGAGCTGGAGACCAAGGCCGTGGGAATGTCCACTGATGGCCGCTTTCTCAAGTTTGACATCGAAATTGGCAGAGGCTCCTTTAAGACGGTCTACAAAGGACTGGACACTGAAACCACTGTGGAGGTCGCCTGGTGTGAACTGCAGGTATAGCCCCACCTACTGTATTTTATGGTGGTTTGGATCCCAAATGTGGATCGGTTAAGCCACTTTATCGAGTTCACCCTTTACTTTTCATTCTCTAACTGTTCATTTTGAGTGGGGAGAAGCCAACTTTTGAAAGAGATTGAAACTAGATTTGGGGGCATGCACCAGGAATTATTGATAGCCAACGAGATTTGCTGCTAGGGAAGGAGTGGTGGAAATCGTTGGTACAAACGCATTGCCTACTTGTTATTGTTTTAGAGTACCTGGCAGGAAACTTGGAATTAGTGGGGACGTTTTTTGAATTAGGAAAGTACAGTCTTCTTGACTTGTACAGTTTCAGTCTCATCAGAGGCTCTGCAGAGATGAGTTGCTGGTATGTTACATGTGTCTTTCCATCCCTGAGATTAGGCTGGTCTTCTTTAATAAGAACGACCTTGTTCATGAATGACCTTCTTTTGGCTATATCTTAGTTGGCGGTTGCACAGGCATTTTAACAACGACTATAAAAAAGACTTTCTTCTCTGGCTAAATGCTTTGGTACTAGTAAGGTACAATAAGTATTTGATATTATACTACTTAATGATGCTTAAGCCTATGGTAGCTAGCAGTGATCTGACATTGTTAATTAAAACTAATATGTCTTCAGCCCATTCACTGTACAGTGAACACACAAAATTATTGTTTGAATTTTGTTATAAAAGATTTTTAAGTCAAACTTCCCCAAGAGGCCATAGGAGTCAAATGCTTCCTTTTTAACCTCTCAGGGAGGTTTCCATGGTGTAAATAATGGTGTGTCATTCTGGTTGACAAGTATATTCTAGGTTTAAATACATAGCTGGGTTTGGGCTACTTGTTGCTTGACCTGTAGCAGCTTGATTTCCTCATCAGGAAGTGAACATAGGTTATTGGAAGAAGCAGAGTTACTCTGAATGAAAAAGGCAGCTTTTTAAAAAAATGAAGAATGCCATTATCCATATTCTTCTTGCCAAGAAAATGGACTAAGCTGAAATAGGATATAAAAGTAACTGAACGATCTAGGAATTTTGTTTTATTCATGTTAATAAAACTTAATTATTTGTCACCTTCCAAATGACCAAGGCCATATGAAATGTGAAGGGAGAATTAACATGTGGAAGGAAGTAAACTTAAAAACTGACAGGTTCTTTGGAACATAATTTTTTAGGTTTTACAGTTAGTGATTTAGAACTTATAAGACGTTGTGAAATAGCTACTCAATTTTATAGTGGTTTAGAGTTGGAAAGTAATAGAACTTTTTAAAAAAATGCTTGTCAAACTATACTTTTATTCCTACTGGTCATTCTTACTTAAAAGCTTAGGTCTGATTTCTTTTGGTTTACAGGCAAAAATTTAGTTTACAGGCAGACAACTATTTCTTTTTTGTACCCAAGGTGCCTATTGCTACTGATTCTGGATTTTATTCTTCTGTTCTAGAATATATTTGAATATATATTGTTTTCATTAATTGGTTACATTATCCTTTTAAGAGTGGACTCAAATAAATGTTGAGCACTTTATGGATTAATTTTGGTAGTTTCAATTATTCAACTTTGAAGACTTCTATGTGTGCGTTTTTCTTTATCGCCTAGAGTTTTCTGATAGTTTATTATGGTACAGTGGAAAACACTTGTTTCTAATACCACAGTAAGAATTATGTCTAAGCATCTTAGTTTTTCTTAGAACTCATGACTTTTTGGATTTTTGTCCATGGACATGATCAAACCAAGTATCGGGATTTGGCTGCAGAACCTCTAGCTCATTGAATGGTACCCTGGTTTAGAAACTTCCAAATGCCATTTGACCCTGCTTCCATAATTTTTCATTTTGTTTCTTAAAAATGTGATTATCCTGGCCCCAGGATCCTTTATAGTCGTAAGTGGGCAGTGTTTTTGTTTTTTTGACTAGGACATATTTCTAGTAACCTATTCAAGTGGGTTAGTGTTTGAGTTTTTCATTTTTAGATCCAAATTAAAGAACAAGCCAAAGGATTGCCTAAGTATTGGGAAGAAAGGAAAGCTCTTTCTACTAAATGCATACTTCTAGTATACATATTTTTCTGTAGGAAGACAGGACAAACATTGTGTTCAGTTGTTGAGTTAAAAATCTTAGTGTATTAAAACCAGAAGAAATCTGTACACTTATTTGATAAATAAAGAACTTGAAATCGTAGAGCAGGTAAATGACTTACTTGGGTTGATTGATAAAGAACACAAATCAAACTGTTAGGACATGGTAATTTGGGAAATGTTGGAAATCTCGAAGCAATTCTTTTTTGTTGTCGAAGTCATCAGATTTATGACATCTGATGTGGGTATTGATTTTATCACTTCAAAGGAAGAAATAGGCTTTTGGGGATGGAGAATGGGTAAGTATGGTATATAAATCAAACTTGTTTCCATCAAGCTTATTTTTAGTCAAAGTACGTACACATAGCTATCTATTAAAACAAGTATCAATTCTTTAATAATACATAGATAATGTTTTGATAGCAGGATCTTAAGTGATAAGTGTGACCTTTTAAGATGCAAAATGACATGCCTTGGTAAGAAAATGTTATGTTGGACTTTGCAGAGTTTTACATTGCTGTTCTAGAAGAGAATCTTGTTTTTGTTTTTAATTGATTTTAGATAGGGAGAGTGAGGGAGGAAGAGAGAGAGACTGAGAGAAAGAGAGAGAGAAACATTGACTGGTTGCCTCCCCTATGCGCCCCAACCTGGGATTCAACCCTGACCTGGAATTGAACCCACCACTTTTTGGTGTACTGGACTCTACTCCAACCAACTGAACCACACTGGCCAGGGCAGGCATCTTGTTTTTATGAAGCAGCATGATTAGCCATGGCTGGTGTGGGTCAGTGGTGAGAGCGTGGGCGCATGCGCACACCGTAGGGTCTTGGGTTTGATTCTTGTCGAGGGTAGGTACCTGGGTTGCCGGTTCATCCCAGATCGTGGTCCATATGCGGCCGGCTGTGGTCAGGGCTTGTGCCTGATATGAGAGAGACATTGTTTCTCTCTCCCTCTCCCCTCACCCTTCCACTCTCTAAAAATCAATGGAAAAAATATCTACCGGTGAGGATTAAAAGAAAGAAAGAAACAGCATGATTGGCTTTAAGAAAACTTATTGATAAGTAGATTTAGGAATAATTTATTTACTTTAAGCACTTTTCTTCGAAGTTGCTTCTAAATACAGAGTACATTTGATATATTCACTTTATTTGTTGATGAGATTGTCTCCATACCTGAAAGGGGAGGTCAAATCATAAATTTTGTTAAAGCTCCAATATACTTAGCGCTTGCTTTTCTCTGGCTTTTAGTAAGTTAATAGCAGTGCTTTAGAAATAGGATGTGGTTCTGTGATTAAGAAACCATAACTTATTTCTTTGCTATGGTTCTTAAAATAATTCTTCAAAACTGATTGAACGGAATCTTTGCATTTGCCTATTGAGGATTGTTTTTACCTTTACTTTTTAAATTTGTGCCACACTCTTGTTTTTTTGGATGAGAATTTGCAACTCCACAACTAGATTTCAGGGAACAGTCTTTAGAATTTCTGTTGTTTTGGTTGGTTTTTAATTCTCAGAGCCCCTGTTGAGGATGGGCAAAATTGAGATAATGCAAGGGTAGCTGCTATGCAGAATGATTGGTGACTTGTTTGAAACAATCTGTTGTCCCTTCTAAACAGGGCAGAATAGAATTAAAGACAGGATAATTTTGGTTAGGTAAGATTTGATTTAAAATATATGTAGGTTTATTGGTGTAGGAAGTAACCTTGGTGGTACAGGAATTGAGAACTACATTTAGGTTGATTTTTTTTTTTTTTAATATGTTTTTATTGATTTTCTTAGAGAGAAGGAGAGAGAGAAACATCAATCTGCTGCCTCCTGCCCGCCCCCTACTGTGGATCAAGCCTGCAACCCCGCATGTGCCCTGACTGGAATTGAACTGGGACTTCTCAGTCCATGGGGTGATGCTCAATCCACTGAGCCACTTCAGCCAGCTAGGCCATATTTAGGTTGATTTTTAATGATGTAGTTAGTTTTTACCTAGTTCTAGGGGTTTATATATGTTTTCCTTTTCTTTTATTTACCTTTAATTTTTTTTTTCTGACTTTTACTATCATAGTTGTTCCTAGTGTAAGAACTTGGAAAGAGGTTGTTGTTTTTTTTGTAAAACAAATTGGAAATCTTGTTGCCTGGTGACTGAGTTTGTTTCTTGACATTCAGATTTTAGTGCAAGATTCTGGTGATTTGAAAATCATCCTAGTTAAACCCTAGGGAAACATTCAACTAAAACTGGGCCCTCATTTTCATAAATCATCCTAAACTTGTTGTTTGGGTTTTCTGGTAACTTTTAAGGTTTTCAGATAAAGTTGTAAATGTAGCATGAATGGTTATGCTCAAATTTAAATTTCTGAGAATGTTAATAATAATACAGTTATTAGGTTTTACTGTGCCAGTTTTTTATATTTGTTTATTTTTAGCATCTTGCATGTAATTTGAGGTTTTTGTGTTTTTTTAAAACATAGGACCAATCTACTCTGTAGGAATAGGTAAGACTTAGCATGACTTGAATTTAGACACAATTTTTCCGTGGTATAATAGTAATTAAGAACTAAACTGCCTGATTCAGCTAATGACTATGACATCTTGGGCAACTTTCTTATCTGTAAATAAAATGTAATAAGTACCTATTTTATAGAGTCATTATATATAAATTTATATACATATATATACACGCACACACACATACATACATACACATACATATATATGACATTTAGCACGGGGCCTGGCACATAAATACGTATTAACTATGATGGTACAGCATCTCTTAGGCTATTGTTTTTGAAGTATCTGAAGATTTTGTTTGATTTGTTTGCACTCATGCTTGAAAAATCATGTAGCAAAACTCTTTACTGTTGCTACCATTCTTAGAGCAGGAAGTTTGGAGTTGAACATGGTGTCATCAATGCTTTCAAATTTT